TTTTATCACTGATTGAATTATACCAGTGTTAGGAATAGGACTTAATTTTAGAATAAGCTAGGCTAAGACATATATGTACTACTCAAGGGCAGAAAGTCCGATTGAGTCGATAGCCTTTTTCTTTAGGAAATAAAGATTATTTATATATATATATATATGAAGACACTGATACATAACCAAAGGATATCGTAGGCGTTTCGATGCCCAAAATGGACCAAATAGCCATCCCAGACTTCACATCGGGAGCAATGGAGAATTGGGGATTGGTCAGCTACAGAGAAGCTTACCTTTTATGGAGCGAATCCGAATCATCCAACAACTACAAGAAAACCATTGCCCTGGTTATAGCCCACGAGTTTGCCCACATGTGGTTTGGCAACTTGGTCACCTGCCAATGGTGGGACTACATTTTCTTGAACGAAGGCTTTGCCAGATACTACCAGTACCTGGCTGGACCTGCCGTAAGTCAATTCACTTAATTGGCTAATTTTGCTCTTAACGGTAGGCTTGTAGACGAAAACCCTGTCGGACTGGGAGCTGGAAAAGCACTTCAATGTGGAGGTGGTTCAGGTGGCGCTATTGGCCGACTCAACTGATTCAGCTTGGGCGCTGACTGCTGAGTCCTACAGCGCTTCGCAAGTAGGTGAAACTGTTTGAAAAAGGAAGTTTTCTACAGGGCGATGGTTACAGATTTCGAGCAAGTTCAGCACGATCAGCTACAGCAAAGGAGCAGCAATATTGAGAATGATTGAGAAGAACATCATGGGGGCTGATAATTTCATCTATGGGTTGCGGCAGTATCTTACTGATTAGTAAGTTCTTAGCTTATACCGAGTGTCCCGGAAATTTTTATGGGTTTGGGTATGTGAGTGGCAAGCAACATTGCAGTTGCAAAAGAAAAATTGTCTTTGTTGCGGTCGCGTTGTTGAGTTTTTAAGTAATTTGGTCAAATTAGTCGAATGTTGAGGGTCGGATGGGAAGGAGTGTTCGCGATTGTTCAATATTTCAAAAAATTTCAAGATTTGCTTTTGTTCTAAACGTTAAAGTTTACCTTTACATTTGCGCCCATTCTTCCGATCTTCAGTCCGTCTTCAGAAAATAACGCAAACTTTGATGCTTTCAGTATTACATTTTTTGTATTTTGACCATAATAAGTCTGCAGGGATTTGCAAAGTTTCCTGAAATTTTCGTCTTTAGAAATAGACTGCTTGACCACAAAAATTACCATTTTATTTCGTTTAAAAAAACATTTAAAATTCCTTGCAGTGCATACCAAGCAACAATTCCAGCCAATCTCTGGTCTTCTTTGGCTGACCACGTGCCTTCCAACGTCCTTCCTTCTGATGTGAGCCTAGAAGACGCTTTGTATAACTGGGTGGAGGAGAATGGACATCCTGCAGTGTTGGTAACAAAAAGTGGAAACGACGTAATCTTATCTCAGGTTAGTTGGCGCTTTCATAAGTTTTACCTCAAACTGGAGGTTCTCCATTAGGAAAATTCACACTGAATCTGCTAGCTAGATCCGGAATGCTTCCCTTCAATTTGTTGTTGCGCCCAGGTAACCTACTGGATGATTCCGCATGTCTCCTCCTCACTTTCGTTCCTTTATTTTGACTGCTTTGTGTGGAAGCTGAAGTCTTTGATGTTTTCAAAACGGAAGATGAACTACAAACCAGTTATTCTCGGTTAATTGTATATAATTTCCTGACTGTGTTTCAATTCCAAATCAAAATTAATTCATACATACATTTCTTTAAATGTATGCCAAGGCTTAAAGCAGCAACAACGCTACACGTAAAAACTGATGATGGTGGAAAAATACACCGAAACGTATTTTAATTGATAAATAAAGACAATAAATGACTGAAATCCAGGAATTAATTTTGATTTGGAATTCTCGGTTAAGTCAAGCATTTCTAGGAACGATTCCTGCTAAGCACTGCAGATAACGCTACTAGGGAATACTACGTCCCCATAACGTACACTTCGTCCAATGACACGACGACTTTTAAAAACACCACAGCAAAAACGTGGCTCATTCCCGACCAATCGCTGACTTTGCGCGACGTGTTAAATGGCAGCGATTGGATCATATTGAACAATCGGCAATCTGGTGAGCCAATAGCAAGCAAGTCCCGGAACTCCTGGCTGTTTAAACCTTGTCATATTTTAAGGCTTTTACCGAGTGGACTACGACAGCACTTTGTGGGAAGCCATCAAGACTCAGCTACACGAAAACCATCTGGTGATTGATGTACTTAATCGCGCTCAACTAGTCAGCGATGCCTACAATTTTGCTCGCTCTGGAGCAAACACCAACTACCGAAACTGGACCTATGCGGAAGCCTTGGATGTTATCAGCTATCTACAGTACGAGGACAATTATTTTCCTTGGTATGCCGCTATAGTGGGGAACAACCATCTTTTGCAACGGATTGGGTAGGAGAAATCAAATTGCCCTGCTGGGTTTAGAGCCCAGATTTAACCAGTTAGTTTTTGCATGGTTGAACTAGATATGAGAGTACTGTTGGGCAGCAGTTCATTAGTTGGATGCTCACCTTGATGCAGAAAGTCTACAGCACGGTGCCATTTGAGACCATCGACAACTCGGATCAGGTCTACTCGATGAAGCAGGCGCTGATCTTGAGCAGGGTGTGCAAATATGGCGAAGAAACTTGCGTGAGCAAGGCAAAAGAGCTGTTCGCTCAATGGAGGGATGAGGGAGTGGCGTAGGTGACAAACGAGTTAAAAGCTTTCTGGTTACTACAGTCTGAGTTGTAGAGTGCCGAAGAACTTGAGGGTGACGGTCTACTGCAACGCGCTCAGATACAGCGATAACGCCACCACCGATTTCAACTTCCTCTGGCAGAAATACACTGAAACCAACCTTATGACCGAAGTCATTACCATGTATGCCGGCCTGGGTTGTTCTCAAGACGCTGAGTCTCTTAAATGGTACAGTCTACTCCACAGAGTAGATTTTTAACTATAGAGAATATTTCAGGTTCCTGGGTCAGAGTATAAACTCTACTTCAGGCATAAGACTGCAGGATTTCACCACAGTTTGGTCATACGTCTACAGCAGCAGCGCAACTGGAACCATCGCAGCTCTAGAGTACATTGCTGAGAACTATGCCACTTTGTCTGCAGCGTAAGCATAATTTATCACATCTTTTCCTTCTACTAGTCTCCAACACAGTTTCTTCTGAAGATGATGTCTAGATTTTTTCACCTTCTGGGGTCTTGATCGTTCCGCTATTATTTTATTGGGTTTTAAATGTTTATTGCTAAAAATTTGTCTTATTCCATCTCATCAGGACATAACCAGGATTCCAGTAGTTTTCCTAGAGCATTTATAGAATATCTGTTCGTCTTTGCCGATCTAATAGCTTTTGAATATTTTTGCAGTCTCCTCAACATTTAAAGCTTTGTTCTTCAGCTAATATTTTTTAAGTATAAGTGTTTTTTTGTTCGTTGTGCTTTTGCAATTCGCGAATGTTTTTGCAGCTTTTGATGTGTAAGTATATTGACGTTGTATTGTTCCTTATCCAAAAGTGTCATGTTTCTTCTTATTTCAGTCGGCCTTTTTAGGTTTCGCAACGATGTTTTCCAGTCCATCTTGCTTTTTATCTTCTTCATTCTCAGCACTATCCATATTTTTCCTTTGGTATCTTTTTTAATTCCAAATCAAAATTAATTCCTGGGTTTCAGTCATTTATTGTCTCTATTTATCAATTAAAATACGTTTCGGTGTATTTTTCCACCATAATAAGTTTTTCTAAAATAACAGATAGTTAAAAAAAATTCATTAATTTACAAGCCTCATCATATCACACACTAAAATACGTCACAATTGCCACACTTTAAAACATTCTAAAATTAATTAGGCCTAACAGGTGATTAGTCAGGACAATCAAATTTGGGAAGCGACTAGAATTCTTTGTTCAGATACTTAAATATTTTTACTTACATGTGTAGCGTTGTTTGATAACACAAAAATACTGATTAACGAGAGTAATTATAATAAGAGAAGAGTCCATGAAATGATACAGATTAAAAAACATAACAATGCTATGAATTTCAGATCGGATACCGACCATCTTAGCTCAGTATATCATACATTAATTAAATGAAATAAACATAGAATATTAACTAACACCCGGTATATTGAAGAATTTCGCAAACCAAAAATAATATTCTCAGAATGCAAAAAAAATAGCTGAAAGCAAAAGAAATCAATATAAACAGTATTTCGCTTTGTGTCCAAAATGGACAAAATTAATACTCCAAATGTATGCCAAGGCTTAAAGTAGCAACAACGCTACACATGTAAGTAAAAATATTTAAGTATCTGAACAAAGAATTCTAGTCACCTGTTAGGCCTAATTAATTTTAGAATGTTTTAAAGTTTTGCAATTGTGATGTATTTTAGTGTGTGATATGATGAGGCTGTTGACGAACTGTGATTGTTTTTTAAATTAATGAAATTTTTTTTAACTATCTGTTATTTTAGAAAAACTGATGATGGTGGAAAAATACACCGAAACGTATTTTAATTGATAAATAGAGACAATAAAGGACTGAAACCCAGAAATTAATTTTGATTTGGAATTGAAGCACAGTCAGGAAAGTATGTACAAATCTATTTTAATGTTTTTTTGAGGAATCTTTCCAGTATAATTCTTTTAGTGGTTGGGAGTTTATTCACTTTTACTCTGCTGTGCCGAAAATCCATTGTGTATGCTTATTTCTGAGATATCTGGAGATTGTTTTATGTTTCCAGAGGGCTTTCACATGAATAGTAAAACATGCCGTTTTACTGACTATGTTTACATCTATTCTCCGTTGCTCTGTAGCTTCTTCATCTACATTTGGAATATGTTTTTTTTCACGTTTTTCGGTCTTTGCTTATCAGCTTTTTATTTACTGTTTTCTGTTTGCTCTGTTCCTCCAGCTTTAGTAAAGTTCTTTTGGTTTTACTGTTCCGTCTTCATCCATCCTTAGTTTCCCTTACAGCAATTGATCTTGAACCAATTGAAACCCACCAATTTAATGTTAAAAACCACTTCTGATGTTGCAGATACAGCGGAGTTTCCAACCTGATTTCTGGGGCGGCCAACTACATCTACGACGAAGATCAGTTGGAGAAGGTTGATAAATTAGAGGGTTTCTAGACATTTTCTGGAACAGTCTGTTCTTTCAGTTGCAAGCAATCTCGAACACTACAGGACTGAGTGCGAGCCACTTGACTGCAGTTCAGGCCGCCGTAACTACAGCCCAGACTAACATTCAATGGGCAGAAACCGTGAGGGAAGTGGTGAAAGCTCAGATAGAGGTTCAGAGTGCAGCCACGATGTCCACCTGTTCTTTGGCTTTAGCCATTGGAGTTTGTCTTCTGAGCAAAGTGTTATTTTAATGTTAGTTCCCATACAAGAAGCGTTTCTAAATAATAAATCCGTTGTTGTTTCGCCGCGTTATTAATCCCTCTGGTATACCAAGTGTCTCCCAAGTCCATTGCCATCCGCTCTTGGAATAATTTCCAATGCATGTAAATGTGGACAGAATTTAAAAGGAAATATTTCAAAGTGAAACTTAATAGTTCTTTCTAGTATGTCGAGAAGTATTCAATTAAAAAGCAAACCTGTGATTTTCCAAGTTCATTTATAATGTAGACACTCGTGTTAATAAAGGAGCAAATCGACAAAAGACAAAAGAAAGCCTGTCGCCTGGAGAAAATGCAAAGGGAAAGCGATTATGGAAAATGGAGAGAACGTTTGCGCATAAGTTAGCCAACCAATGAAACGCGAGCTTCTTGTAATGGGCGACACCAAATCCCGAGCCTTCTATAAGCCTCATTAGCATATCGCTGAACAAACAAAGCCTTGCGGCGAAAAGAAATTAAATGGGTTTAAATTTGCTGTTACGTCCTGGTTTTTTCGGAAAAATTCCTCATTAGATGGCAGTAATGTTGCATGAAATCAAGTGTCACAAGAGCGTTAAAAGAGTTATTAGGTCCAACAGTGGCGGAGAGGATCGAATGATCATGTTGTGGGCAAAAAGAGAAAATAACTTCCATTTCTGTAAAGAGGGTTCTTCGATAGACATCTGAAAACGCAAAAATTGCAAGACCCGCGACATTAATTAAACAGCTAAAAGACAGTTTGAAGTAAAAATTCGTTAAAGAAACATTGAGAAACCTGAAAGTCGCTGTAAATAGTTAGAGGACTGACTGTTTTGTTAATGTAGTAAGTTTTGTTGAGTAATGAAATTCCCGATCGATCAGCAAATCACCTTCCAATTCTCAAAAACTGAACACTTTTAGCCCTTGCTGGATCTGCAGGTTTTCTTGCGAGCAGCATGACGCCCTCCTGCTGCCACCCGTTCCTATTATGAGATTCCCACACTACTCAAAATTGCGCGATGTTGAACGGGCCCATTAACGCTCTTTTGTGTTACGGCTATTTAAGGCCTGAGATGGTTAACAGGGATTTTCGGGGTGTAAAATTCCCACTTAGAGGGTGGACGCATCCGCAATTCTGGTCGATCAGTCGGTTTTCATCACGGACATCTACTAGTTGCTTTACTGAAGACAATCTGAATTGCACCAGTAACGACTTGGCAAACTTAAGAACGATTTTTTATTTTGATTGATTTTTGGTTGAATTGATGCTTTTGATACATGCACTTGCTTATTAACAGCAATCTTATAAAGTGCTATAACTTCCAGTTAAGTAAAGCTTTCCCGACTAAAGAGCTAAAAAAACATTTTCAATTTTCGGATTGTTTAACATCTAATATTTTTTTACATTTTAAATTTATAAAATCACTAGCAAAAGGTAAAAGCTAGGCAACTTCTGATTTTTTTTATGCCGCGCTTGCTCATTAGCAAAAGTTTCATAAAGTGCGACTGCTTTACTTCTAGTTGCATAAACTTTTTAAAATTTCCGAAATTTCCGGCTTTTGAAAAGCCGTTAAGGCATATTTTTCATGTCTTTAAATCTTTGAAAGTTTAGAAAATCGATAACATAAACGATTGTTGACTTCTCAAGCTGATTGCTGACTTTATAACATCAAAAACGTTACTAATGAATTAGTTGATTAACTCAAAGTTTTAAACAACTATACGTTCCAGTTGAATCAAATTGTTGTAGTTAATTAATTATTGTATTCTTTTCCTTCCTGAGTTTCAGTCAAAGTGTAAAATAAATTTTTTTATATCGTTTAATTCATAAGGTTCCGGCGAGACAACAGCGCCACATCAGATCTAAAATTCATACAAAGTCATAATTGGGAAATATTAAATTCTTTCAGATCTTTGATGTCTTGAAACCTCAAATTTGTTCGAATTATTGTCTACATTTGCCTGAATTTAGTTAATTAATATTAATACTTTAAATTTGTAACTTGTCCAACTAACTTGCATGGATTACGTTATGCGAGACTGTTGCATGGTCTAAATTTTGTTAATTCTTTTGCTTCCTGTGTTTCAGTCACTTCGGTTGTAAACTTTTTATTCTCTAAAGTTTAGTATTTGAGAAGAACAGTAATTGAATTCCAGTTGCAAAATGGATCCCTTAATGATTGACTTCTGATTTAGTTCAATATTGTGCCTCAGTTTTGCAAATTTTGTCTGATGATGAATAAACCGAAACGCATCGATCACGACAATCACGGCACGTACTTTAAACCTACTGACATTTTTTAAATTAGTTGAAATAAATAAGAAATTTTGCTTTCTCAAGCTGATTGTTTGCATCGCTGACTTTATAAAAACGTTACAATCGCACTTGCTTACAAACTGAACTTTATAGACAACAATACCTTTAAGTTGAGGAAACATTTTGAAATTTAGATTTATTACAAAAACGTTCCAAATTTCGTTAATTTTACGTTAAATTTTCGTCTAACTTTTACTTAAACGTTAGACTGACAGATTGTCTAAACGTTGTTTATTCCTTCCTTTGTGCTGATTTCTGTCCTTTTTTATAACAATAAATAAACGATTTTCGCTTTCTCAAGCTGAGCACAGCTGACTTTATAAAAACGTTGCAAATGAACTTGCTTACTAACTGAAGTTTATAGACAACGATACCTTCAAGTCAAGAATCTACGAAATTTGTTTATTTTTACGTTAACTTTTTTTCTAACGTTTATCTAAACATTGGACTGATAGATCGTATAAACTTTGTTAATTCCTTTCTTAGTGCTGATTTCTGTCCTTTTTTGTAACAATAAATAAACGATTTTCACTTTCTCAAGATGAGCAAAGCTGACTTTATAAAACCGTTGCAAATGAACTTGCTTACTAACTGAAGTTTATAAACAACGATACTTTTCAGTCAAGAATCTACTAAATTTGTTTATTTTTACGTTAACTTTTTTTCTAACGTTTACCTAAACGTCCTTTTTTGAGACAATAAATAAACGATTTTCGCTTTCTCAAGCTAGTTGCTTGCATAGCTGACTTTGTAAAAATGTCGTCAATGCACCTGTTTCCGAACTGAATTTTATAAACAACGATACTTTCCAGTTGAGTGTAAACATTTCCATTTTAAGTTTAGTTTATTAAAAGAATCTAAAAATATCTTTATTTTTACGCCTAGTTTTCTAATGTGTAACGTTTATTTAAACGATAGATTGTTTAAACGTCTTTAATTCGTCCACTTGCCTGGTTTTCGGTGCTTTCTGCTGCCAACTTTGTGTTTTCTAAAGTTTAGTGTCAATAGTTCAAGTCCAGTTGCAAAATAATCCACTGAACAGTTGATTTCGATTTTGCGCAACTTTGCTTTGTTGAGTGAGTTGTTGCAATTTTTCTCTGATGATAAATTAGGCGAAACGCAATGTTCACACAATCGATGTATATTTTTCAGGTTCCTTACCCTCACCCTGTTATAGTTGCACAAAAATAAATTAAAGATTTTTGACTCCTCCAGTTCGTGCTTACGCTCGCCAACATCGAAACGATTCATAACAAAATTTCACTAGGCAATTGACCATTTCGTTCAACGTTACTGCTGCGTTTCTTGAGTGAATTTCGCCGATTTTCGCTCAAAAAAACTAATTTATTCGGCTCACCCTTGAGCAGCAACAAATCCAGCCAATGTGGACAGTCTCTCACCTAATTTAAAAGCACTCTTAATCCGACAAAACGAAATCATTTATCAAATCGTCTGTTTCCATCAATTACCGACAACAATGGCGGAACAAATGCAGATCCCTTTTGTAAAGTGATATCAAAACCACTTTAAATACATTTATCCCTTCGGAGTTTATGCGGCTCTCTGTTTTTGTATGAAACAGGAAGGGATCGTAGTGGATTCTGAGACATCCGCGTTTCATGTGCATCTGTTTGGTTTGCGCGGTTTTCAACTTTTTTTGATAGGAAATTTTCCAAAAATCGTGTCGCTGTGCTGCAACAATCTCACATGCTTTGAACGTATCCGATTCAGCTTCGATAAATTTCCGCAGCTTTGCCGTATTAAAATCTCATTCCTCCGACCATTAGCCAGCGCACAAAGTGTGCCGTGTTGGGGCACAATGCCTTGAAAGCACATAAGGGCTTTTAGGTATGATTTATCTGTTTGCTATAGCTTGTCAGATTCGCCCGTAAAAACCTTACATAGGCGGTTATGAGGTTTTAAACAGATGCTGATGGCAGGTATTTTCACAGCCTCCATTAGACTAAAGATGGGCCTCAATCGACGTCATTTCTTGGACGAGAGAGTTTTTTAATTATATTTTAGCCATTTGCTGGTAATCGGTGAGCAGAGATTCCAATTGAAAGAACTCCTTCGGTTAATGGAAGGCACATTTGAATAGAAGCATGTCTTTTGGTGTTTTAGTTTTCGCTCAGGTCAAGCATTTGAAGAAAAATCACTTTAAGCTGCACTAAAAGAAATCAGCTCTTTTGCCAATTTTTGTATGTAAGTGGGTTTTTACGTCGATAGCCAGCTCCATTTCTACCAGGTTTTCTTCGTAGCTTTTTCCAGTTCGCCCAATAAGGCTAATAAAGCTGCGCTGCTGCTTTTACAGCCCAATATGGAAGGCGAATTTGCGATAGAAACTTGCCCTTAAGGCCAAATTTTTTTAAGATGTAAAAACTCTTATGAAGCAGTTGTAGTTGATTTATGCGAACTTTAACGTTTTTTCCTAGGCGAAATATTTTTCCAGCCCTTACTCTTGAAAGGATTGGTTAAAACTTTCCGGGCTCGGCACGATATAAACTGAAATCAAAAAGCGTTCTATACTGTCAATCTATTTTGCTTGGTGATCAAATATGAAACTTTTCAAAATTTGTAAAAAATGTTTAAAATTCAGAATGTCGATGGGAGTTGAGATACGCAGCATGTAAAGAACAATTGAGCACATCGACGTTCTGATTTTTAGAGAATATGTTAATGCGTTGATTGGTTAAGTAGCATTTGCGATTTTCTTTAAGATTCTTAGGCTTCTCATTTTAATTGAAACTGGGCAACAAGAAACTGAATTGCCTGATCAATTAAGTGACAAACAGTTAGGCTTTTGAAGCTAAAGCTTCATCACTTGTCATACATTAAAATTGTAAAGTTTTCAATGTGAAAATTGGTGAGTAAAATTAAATGCTTTGATAGGAAAATAACGATCTTTACCTAATTTTTCATACATCTAGAAGAAGTCTGAACAAAGCTTTCCAATGCGGAACTTATGCATAAGATTGTGCTCGAAAATTTGTGAAAAATTTCTTAAAGTCAGAATGTTAATGGGAGTTGCATCGTGCAAACAGCTTTCAAAGATCATTCAAGCATATCGATGTTATGATTTTTAGACAAAATATTAATGGAGATTTTCGACTTTAACAAAACATTTTCCTATAGCTGATATCAATTTTTCTTTCAAAAGAGTACAAAATTAAACTGCCTAATCTGTGAATTCAAAAGCAAAATTATTCTCAGAATCAGTTTCCAGTAAAATTAAAGATTTTCAAGAAGCAATAAACATTTTTACAGCTACAAGTTTTTCCACATTCTAAAGCCTCAAAGTGTAAAATAAAAAATAAAATTATCTGCTTCTTATACCCCCATCTACTGCCGATTTCCATACATATATTTTTTTCCCAAACAGCTAATCATTCAACAAGAAACACATTCTTGTATGTTCCGCTTGATGTTCGCACTCCTCAGCCGCTAGTCGAGTACAGATGCGAAATCCGCCAGCGAATAGAGCCGATAGAGCATTTAAAAGCAGGCAAAACACCAATCTGGTGAGCCCTTAAAGGGCTCTAAGAGCCGGTTTCTCTAACCGATGGGCGGACTGATGACGACGAGGCGGAGCCTGTACAGAAGTGCTAACTGGCAGCTAATGGACCGAGATAATCGCTTGTCTTGCAGTAAAAACAGATTGTTAACGCGTACTTTACTGCGATCTGGGAAAATCGATCTTTCTACGAGTGTTCTATGTGTGTGTGTCTGGGTGTTTAACGTGGAAAACTTGTTGGTGATGTTATCGAAAGTGGCTAAACGGACATGAGTGAAACTTTGCAAAATTCAAGTGAGTAGAAATGCCAAGAAATTTGCCTCAAATTTGATTGTTTGGATCGCAACTATTCTTTGGCAACGCGCTTTTTTAGTACCTAAGTCGTCCCAGGAAAGTGTAATAATCCATGGCGATTTTTGGTCAGAAAACTAAAGTATGCTTGATTTTGCCGACAAAATCTCCTTCAGAATTGCATGTTTCTAGTTACAACTATGCAAAATTTCCAATTTTTTTCAAGTTAACAGCTCTTTGATATTCACTTCAACACTGGAGATTCTGGAGCTGAACCCCGCAATTTTTTGCTTGAAATCGACACCCAAATGATCATTTTTCAATCTAAGATTCGACAATTGCAAAAGTTTTCAGCGTTTTTTTTTGAAAAATTTGTCGGGTCCGCAAATTTTATTAATAATTTTGGTCAATTTATTTTATTTTACAAAATTGAGTTTGGGCCAAGTCCAAAAGCCGCTGAATTTTATACGAATTCTTCTAGAACTTCTTGTAGTCACTCTATATAGTCAAATAACCTAAAGAAACCATCCTAGAGAAGAAATACTCAGCTCTATATTATGTCCTCCCTATTATCCTGTGTTAAAACTGTGCTATTCCAGAATGGATATAATGAACACAACTTCCCCTCAGATATCCGAGTGCAGCTCAGAAGCAAATGAGGCCAGATTCAGCTCAGAAGAGAGCAGCTTGGACGTGTTGGGCTCCAAAGAGGCGAACAAACACTGTGATAACACTAGTACAAACAAATTCTCCATAGATAATATTCTCGGTTTAAATCGGGGCAGTGGTGAAGAAACCCCGGGGGTTGAGAACGTTGAAAATGACAGTGAAGAAAGTGACGAAGATCGGAAAAGGGAACCCATCAGGTTCATCAAACCGACTCCCATTAATGCGGCTAATCGCGCTGGTATGCAGCTGCAAATTTTCGGAAAAACTTCGATTAAACATGGAATGTTTGCAGATGGCTTATATCAGTCGATCCAGGAAAGGCAGAGGCTGCACAGACCGGATCCGCTTCCGCCGGAACCAACTAGTCATTTTCTCGACTACATCCAGAGCCAGAAGCTCGTCCAGGAACAATCAGCTTCAGCGGAAGGCAACCTTTTGTCTTATCAGCTTCAGCAAAGCGGTTCTGGGTCTATTTTGTATGGAAGCTGGTTAGCTGGACCGTCGGACATTAAGAGCTCTAGTCAACTTTTTGGTTTACCAGGTAAGATTGGGGACTGGAAGACTCCAATAAAATGGGAAATTGGGCGAAGATAAAGATTATTGAGTGTATTTAGTAGTGTATCAATGAAGGAAACTTTAATGTTTGTTATGAATTGCAAAGCATTATTTTCTTGCAATTTTTCAACAGTCGGTCCTCAGAACTCGAAAAATATTCTAAAAACACATTTACTTTAATCTTTGTTCACGATCAGATTTTTAAATTTTTAAGAATTTTCTAGAATTTTTTCCTAAATATACCCATAACTTTTGAAGAGAATATGAGACGAGAAAAATTGTTGTCCCAATATCCCCTAACATCCCTAAAGATATGTCGGTACATTTATGGAACAGACAGTGTTTGTGTGAATTCTTTGGATTCTTAGATGCAAATTCTAGAAAGAAATGATTTAGATTTTTAGTACGCCAATAAAGAAAACCATAATTTTTTTATTCATAACTTGCCTTGTTTGTAACTTTTTAATAGGCGCTTTTTGAAGTGCACAAAATTTTTGAAAAAGCATTTTAGAAATTTTTCCCATTCGACATCGACATGAAATAATATAAGGTGATATTGAAATAATTTGACAAATACGAAAATATTTCGATTCAGCCCCATTTGTCTCCTTTTTTTAATAGTTTCCCTGGTACAAGGCGTCAAAGTGTAAATAAAATTTTCGTTCTTCTTAATAGATTATTACCCAGTTTTACTACAATCAGAAGAAGTTTTCTTGGGGTTTTTTTAGATTGAGGAATCGAAATTTCCTATCGCTTAGTCTATAGTTGTTGTGTGGCTGCAATAGTTTAAAAGCTTAAAAAGACACTTTTTGGGTTGTTTTAAAACATCGCTTTTTTTGTTGGCAGCAGATTGTTCTTCTAAATTACCTAAATAAAAATGTGTTCTTGGTTCAAGTTCATATCTCTAACCGATTTCACATTAAAACTCAAGTATTTTTAAGTAAGTTAGTACAAAAAGTATCTCGAAAACGGTGAAGGATATCGACTTGCATCAAGTACACATTTTTTGTTTAGAAAATATCGGAGAACGAGATAATACCAGCACAAAAATGCTATTTAAAAACACAAAAAATGTCGGATGTTTTAACTGACTGTAGACTTTAAAAAACACCCTGTACTTCGGAAACTGTCTTCTAAGTCGAATTGGCCTGAAACTCAATATTTGTTTAAAATGAAAGATGTTTGTTTGAGCTTAGTTTTGAGCTCCGTGAGCTTCGCAAAAATTCTGTTGAATTGAGATCCGTTAGATTCTTAGGGCATCAATCAATCAATCAAAAACATTTATTTTTCGCAGCTTTTAAACAGCTGATTTTTCAAGTCTGAGAAATATGAAACAAATACATTTTAGCACCCAATCATAGATTAGCAATTTGATTCTGGTCAGGCTAGCAGATAAAAAAATCAGTTTCTGGCCCTATAGAAAATAAACTGGATCGTCGTAAACTATCTTGCTCTAAACGACTAGTTTTTCCCTAAAGCCTCTATTCCAGACATCAGATAAAAGTCGCAAATATTATGTATGCATGCATTAATATATTGGCAAAAAATTCAGAAGATCGTTGGTGGTCAATTGTTCATCACAGGCTTTTCGCGCAACGGAGCTCACATGGATGTTCTGACTTTTAGAGGGATTTACTTGAATCTTTTACCCAGTTTTTCATACTTTATAGCCAAATTTATCAGTGCCGACAGGCCGTTTTCACATGAGCCAAACATAACAAAAAAGGCCGTTTCAGTTGATTAACGGATCTAATTTCTGTCGGACCTGCTGATGAAAGTCCAGTTGTTTGCCCCTGTTGAAATGATAAATCCAATTAATAAGCTCCTATGCTATTACTTCGTATAATTACACGAAAAATCGCGCTCCTTCTTCCCCAAAAATGGGGCGGGTGAGAAGCGACCGGTTATTCCGTATATCACGCAAACAACTCGTTAAAATGAGATAATTTTTGCACCTTTCAAGAAACTGTAAGGGCGTTTAATGGAATAGCTGCCGTCAGATGTGAAAGATTGTTTATTGGGTGTTTGGAGCTTTTGTTTGGGGATGAATGAAAAGTTAGTAGTCGGTTTGCTGCTGGTCGGATCAATACCACAACTAGCAGCACGCATTCCAGCCAGGCCGATCCCACTACCAAGAACCGAACAGTTTCACGGAACTCTCTTCGCCTTGATCGCTCCTATTTGCTTGCCGATTAGCGCCCTTAAATATTTCAAACATACACCCAGAGACCACCAGTTAGTATAAAGTCCCAAAATGGGAAAATTAGCATCTCTAATAGAGAGTTTGTCTTAATACCAAAACAAACAGATAAATCACATAGTATGATTTGACACCCGGGTCTTAAACTCGCTTCCTAGAACGAATCCGAATGTGTGAAACCATAAAACTACATACGCGGCTTTAAACTAACTATTACGGGTTTTTTTCTTCAACAGTAGCGTTCAAGCTGTTTTTTCCACATTAGTTGCACTTTAAACCATCCTCAGAGGACAACTGAAAGTTGATTGATTTCTCCTCGAAAATCGAGATGATTGCGGAAAAACAATCTACTCTCTATGCCCATTCAAGTTCATCCAGGAACAACATCTCTCTTTTTTCATACTCCCGCAGATTTAGATAGAAATGCGCTAGTTGTAGCTTCATTTGCAGATTTTTTACCTCTTTAATAGCTCTTTTGCGTACAGGATCTCTCATTAGTGCGTCAAAATACGACGTTTAAGTAGTTATTAATTTTTAAAAGAAATGTTTTTTGTAAAAGCCATTGGTCATTAGGGGGCAATTTACCAGTAATTTGTAGTAGTAACTAGCTATAATTTTTTAGGAGATTTCGTTCAATAGAAAAAGTTTATTTGAAATGTTTGGTCCGAAAAATTTATGGTTTTCGAATTATTCGCTGAAATATGAACATTTTAAAGCTGCTGAGTTCCGCAGAAATTGGTGCTGCCTGCTACTAACTGCTGCGAATTTGAAAGTCGGTTTCCTGAGCTTCAAAACTGACCGAAAAAAACTATGAAGTGGCATGTTTTAATTCATAAACAGTTTTTCACAAACCTCCCAAAAAACCTGCAAAGTTGCATGTTTCTAAACTACAATAATTTGATTTTTTAAAACGAAACTCAGTGTTTTATTAATTTTCGGCTTTATTCTCAACTTTTTGGACCAGCCTGTGTAAGGAACACACTTTAAGTTCTGAAAATTTCATTCAAGTCGCCCAAAATCCGAATTTTTGATGAGCAAGTCAATGTGCGTAAGTTCGTAAAACGGACAAATGTGTAATTTCACTCAATTGCACGCTTTACTTAAAAAAATCGTAACTTTCAATTGAATTCTAGTAGAAACTTGAAATTATCAGGATTTATAGAAGCGAGTAGTATCTTTGAGTTTTACTATTTTCATTAAAATCGCAAAAAATCTGATGGTTTGTTGCAAAATTAATTCTGGCTGAAAATAACCAAGTTTACACCTTTGCACGCTTTCGTTTAAAACCTGGTAGCTTTCAATATAGATCGAGTAGAAACAAGAAATTTCCACCGTTTGTATAAAATAATTAGTCTTAGTCTTTTAGTTCTTCGGATTTTTTCAAAATCGTGTAAAATTGGAATAATTTCGAAATATGTCAACTTTGGTGTAGAATGACCAATTTCACAGATTTACACGCTTTCCTTCAATAAACGGTAACTTTCAACCCATTTCAGGTGAAAGTTGAAATTCTCATCATTCATAGAAGAGATTTCAGTCTTCAAGTTCTGAAAATTTCACTCAAGTCGCAGAAAATCCGAATGTTCGCTTACCAAGCGTAAATAGTGAAAATGTGCAATATCACACAACTGCTCGCTTTATTTAAAAAATTATAACTTTCAATCGAAATCGAGTAGAAACTTGAAACTTGAAAATTTCAGGATTTATATAGAAAAGACTTGAATCTTTGAGCCCTGTTATTTTCATTGAATTCCTAACCACGTCAATTTTGGCGTAAAATTACCACTTTTACAGATTTACACGCTTTCCTTCAATAAACGGTAACTTTCAACTTTCAACCCATTTCTGGTGAAACTTGAAATTCTCACCATCTATAAAAGAAATTTAAGCCTTTAAGTTCTGGAATGTTCATTCAAGTCGGACAAAATCTGAATGTTTAAATGCGTAAAACGTGCGATTTCATACAATTGCAGGCTTTACTTAAAAAAATATAACTTTCATTCGAAAAATAGTAAAAACTTGAAATTTTCAGGATATATAGAAGACCGCTGAGTCTCTGAGTTCTGTTATCTTCATTGAAACGAGAAAAATCCTGATGTTAGCTAGCAAAATCAAATATGGCCCAAAGCCCAAGTTAACACGCTTTTGTTTAAATCTTGGTAACTTTCAATACAGATCGAGCAGAAACTTGAATCTTCCACCATTTATAGCACAAACTTGACTCTTTTAGTGCAGAATCGGGCAAAATTAGAATGTTCTCTAACCACGTCCATTTTGGCGTAAATTACAAATTTTACATATTAACACGCTTTCCTTCAACAAACAGTAATTTTCAACCTATTTCTGGTGGAACTTGAAATTATCACCATCCATAGAAGCGATTTCAGCCTTTAATTCCTAAAAATTTCATTCAAGTCGCACATAATCCGAATGTTGGCTTACCAAGTCAATTTTGGCGTAAAATGTGCAATTTCACACAAAAACCTCCCCAATAAAACCTTTCGTTTTACCACCTATGGTGACGCTACTGAAGCTACTAAAGAGTCATATTTAAATGAAGATATTGACCAAGGGTATTACCATTGAAGAGCACAGGTGCTTTGGGTATCCGCTTTTGATTGATTGAGTAAACCCATGGTTTCCAACAGCGTTATGGATAATTAGAGCTTTAAAAATTTGCATTTGCCTATGGTGTGCAAGCTTTAGGCACATATACAGGGCGACTGAATAACGCATAGTAAATGGCCGCCGACTATGAGAACTGGATGTTTGCAACATTTGAATGGCGTGTTCAATAAGGTGTGAATCAATGCGAATTAGCATCTACATGAAGTGCGCTGGTAATAATTGGCGAAATGTGTTAATGGCTGTTTTATTATGCCTTGAATAGATGTTTTAAAGGCGAAACGTGACATCAATCGCTAGCATTGGCAGGAATCATCAATAAATTAATGAAACATGTGAGAATCATTTGCGAAACTGTATGCTTATTTGATTAAACAAAGGCAATGGAAGAAATTTGTTGATGTTGTTAAACAGGGTGCGATTTTTTAAATCCTCTGATTTTCCCACATTTGCAAATGTTTATTTCATGTGCTCTATAAGGAAAATTTACCTCTATTGATCGTGTGAGTTTATATTTTTAGCCAACTTGTTATGCAAAATGTGCATTGAAAAAAGCGGTCAATGAAGTCAAGTTTAGATACTTATTATGGATAAACTGCTGATGGAAGAGGAACCAAATTTACGGGTGTTCTATATCGAGCACTGAAGATTTCACGTTACAATACAACAAAAGTCGCTGAACATTAATAAACATCACGCACCAAAAAATCGATATCGAAACTTAGACGAAAATGTAGTATAAAAGCAAATAACAGAGGTAGAAAAACCGAGTAAAAAAATGTTTCTAGGCGAAAGATGTAGAGCCCTGGAAGAACTTTATGGTAATTTTGGGAAATTATCAGATTCAGTCGATTTTTCTTCTTTTGCAAGCAGTGGTTTCGTATTGGAGAGATATAGAGATTTAGGCCCTATTGTGTTTTTTGTAGAAGAATCGGCTTTATACGCCGGGTAAATTTTTGAGTTGTCCTTTGGACATTTTGCAAAATTTTTAAAGTTGATAAACTTTTCTCCTGTTTTTCCAAGCTTTTCAGATCTTTGTAACATGCATATTTACAGGAAAAATATGTTTTATCTACCATATGAAATTAATTCTCGAGTCGAATTTATGGCATTGATGCATTGAGAAATTTTTGAATTTGGGTGAATTTTTGCCATTGGCCACTGGTTTTTTAAAAATATATTATTGAAGGAACATACAAAATTGAACTATAAAATATTATGTTTTTATGTAAACATTCCGGCTGTATACTGTTTCAGTTCTGCGACTTCCTTAAGGCGCATTTGGCAAATTTTCAAATAGGATTAAGTTTCCTCAATTTACAAGCTATCGAAAAGATTAGAATATTTTCGATGCTATAAGAGATGAAGATTTGAGAAATTTTGCATTTTGTGCCAAACTTGGAATAAGAGACCCGGTAAATTTCACTTAAAAAATATTTGACACAGTTTTTGGTGAAATTTGCTTCGGTTTTTCACATACCAAAAATCAACTTTTCACATCTGTTTTTTCCGCTCAGAATAGCTTTCGACCTAAGGAACTCTTTAATATGCTTATTTAGCGTGTTTAAGTCGGATAATACGGAAGATATTGTCGGTCACAGCTTATTACCGCGAAAAATTCCCTAAAATTAGCAAAAACTTAAGAACAGAACAGTTCAACTTGTCCAGTCGTCAGCGTCTTTGCTAAGAAAATAGCGTATAAAGTCAAACGCTTTGCCACAAAAGAATCCTCAAACTTTTGTCTTTACTGTATGATTCTTAAGTGTAAAATTTCAGGTCCGAAGCCACCAAACAGACGATCGAGGAAACCCGGTTTAGACCGAAAACCCCGACAGGCCTACAGTGCAAAACAGCTGGAAAGACTGGAAGGCGAATTCAAAATGGACAAATATCTGAGCGTCAGCAAGCGCATGGAACTATCCAAAGCCCTCAACTTGACTGAGGTCCAAATCAAAACCTGGTTTCAAGTAAGGCAAAAAGTTAAAGTTCTTTGCCGGATATGCTTCGATTTTTTTGCAGAATCGTCGCACCAAATGGAAAAAGCAGCTGACCACGCGCTTGAAAATGGCCCAAAGACAGGGACTGTTTCCCCAGCATTATTTTTCACCTGCCGCTGCCTCTACCCAGCAATACTCAGCGCTGTTTCCTTCTTATTACTCGCCATTGATGTTCGGGATGCCTTCGGTGGAAGACGTCAATTTGGGCAGCCAAAACCCGCAGGAAAGCGCAAGAAGATAAGCGGGGATTGAGTGTAAATATTTGTAAATACACCCGAGAGTCTAGGGGTTGTTTCAATTTTTCAACCTCCTCCTGTTGGCTAACCAATGCCAATATCAAAGGCTTTATTAATGGGTATGAGAACTTTTAATAAAACTAGTTAACTGGCTACATGTTCGCAAAACAAACAACTTCATAAAAAAGCCACTCTGATTGAACTAATGCAAGTAGTTGTTGTCCTTCAACCAATTCACTACTGAGTCCAAGTGCTTCTTCCTCCACTTGATGCGCACCTTCATTTGATCCACTGAGCTTTGCAGAATGTTGGCCACTTGCTTCAGGTCGTTCTGGTGCAGCTTGTAGAAGGTGGTTAACTGGGCAGAAAAATATCAGTTGAATCAAGCAAGAGTAGAACACGCCACCAGGCAACTTACATCCTCCAAGTCGATTTCCGTGGAAAGCTGCGAAACGAAGTCATGGAAAATGGTGCTGAAGACTGGATAAATATCTTCGTAGGTGGAGTAAATGCGATCCCAGTTCAGCCGCAGGAACTGGAAGCCCGTTCGAACTCCCACAGGATGATTGATGGAAATCCACACGTTCTGCACGTTTTCCAGCGTCATGTTGCCATTAAGCGAGTACTCCAGGTATCTAATTTATTGAGACTTTTACCAACACATTTCAACCCCCAAACAGCCAAATACCTGTTGATTAGCCACGGATCGTAAGTGCAGCCCAAACTCAAATAGGCCGTTTCCAGATCGGCTGCAGACATTGAAGGCAGCCTGGTCCTGTTCCAGAGGAAATCCCATTCTTCCGGCCCTCCAGATTTTATTGCCGAACATTGAACTATGTACTTGTAGTCAACATTTACACTGACCCAAAAAAGAGTAATAAGCCCAGATTCTGAAGCCAACAATCTGAAGCATGGCTTACATGTTGTTGGTGTTCGCATTGTCTGAGTTCATCCAGTCCTCGTAAAGAGATCGCGCCCATTGAATGCACTTGGAGTATCTCAACTGGCAGGCGGAGGTGATGATCAGCAGGCGCAGCAGCTTTTCATTCTGAGTGTCTTCTGATGTTTCTGAGGTTCCCAGCTCGTCAAACATCGGCTTCACCAGTCTCAGAATGAAGTTGTCGTAGATACCCGAGTATTCGTAGTTGCTAATAATGACCCTAAACAAGCAAAATACGATTTTTGTGAAGGATTCTTCAAAAATCTGCACTTGAAAGAGTAAATCCATAATATCCCACTTGAAATCTGCTCAAAAATCGCGTATTGGTTGAAAGAGTTTCTGGGCCCTTGTGGAAGCATTTAGCGCTCATAGCTATGTGCTAATTGGTTAGAGATATTTCCGACAAAAAATCGAAAATTTGTCAAAACATTTTCTGCTATTTTAGTTCCAAAGCTGGGAATTTTCAAAGGAAATTTTTATTAATTAGCGTCTTTTTGATCATTTTATATAACTTGGACGAATTTATAAACATCATTAATCCTCAAAGAATGTTGCCCCTGAAAAATCGCCAAATCTCCTAAACTTTAAAAATAACTGATTTTTTCAAGAGCGTTCAGAAACGTACATAGTCCCACTAAAAAACATGCGGGAAAAGAAAAAAAGGCTTTGCCCCCTAAGAAGCCCTGAATATTTACAACAACATATTCTGAGGTCCCTTTGAACGAAATTTGCGCAAAATTTCGTTGGGTCATTATTTGAGCAGCGTGTTTGTGAAGAAAAAGTATTCAATTCTTCACGAAACACCTTCAGCACACGAAAAATTGTCATATCTCTGAAACCGTTACAAATAGCCGAATAGTCATCAAAAAGGATACGCGTTGGAACAATCTAAACAATCGAAATTCAATACTTCCAAAAGTTCCGTCGTAAAAAGTCCAAAATTGCTAGTTCCGTTGAGCCTGGTTGAATTTTGAATATCAACTGCTCAATTAAACCATGTTTGCTCTATGCTGAAAAAAATGTCAGCTCTGCTTAGCACTTTAGAGGGAAAATTTTGCAAACCGAGGCTGCCCAATGTCAATAGAGCTTTCAATAATATTTTTTTTATTCTATAAGTCCCTCGAGTTCAACTTAGCAGATGAAAAGTTTTAACTACTGTACATCACTTTTTGCCTCTTTTTTGGCCAACACCCTGTAAATAACAGTTCCAAATTATAATTCCATATATTCCATTTTTCAGTGTTTTCAAATATGACCGCAATTTTCCTACATTTCCCTCGGAAGATTTTTGGGAAAAAGTGATAGGAGAGAGAGGAAACTTTTTTTCCGTCTCCGACAACATCTGTTTTACATGGATATAAAAATGATGCATCGAAAAATAAACGCCCAAATTGCCGAAAAGCACTGCATGCTCAAGATTAGCTCGAAATCGTACATGTTTTCAGTGACCATTTTATTTTAATCGCTCTGTATATGCCGTTTGATAGTTTAAACGTGTTACAATCAACTGATTGAACACAGAAGGCTTTCAACCGATTTTTTAATATTTTTAAGGAAAAAGCTGCAATTTCAAGAACTAAGTAAACACCCTGTATAGGAGGTGTGAACATTTTTGCAAATTCTTTACTTATTTTGGGATTTTAGTAGTTTTTAATGCAAAAAAGCACCCAATCCAAAAATGCTTAAATGAAATTCATAACTTAAGAAGGTATGACTCTCCGTTTACTATTAAAAATCCATCCATGTAGAGCTGCAGTTTCCAGCTTCTCTGTCGATTGATTGCAAATTGAAAATGGAAATTAAAGCACACTCACACTGTAGAATTGAGTCGTACCTTAACTCTTCCATATTCCTCAAGGCCGCATACCACGGAACGTAATTTTTCTCTTGAATGGTCAAATACTTGACCAAGTTGAAGGCAACTGTGTAATTCAAATAGCCGATATTGGCCAACTGGAAGGCGTCATCGATCAAATGGCCCCTATTGGAAATGGGGATTTTGTTCGGGTTTCTTCGCAACTGGTTGCTCAGAAGGTTCCAATTGTGGAAGTCGTAGTTAACTCTGAAGAAACCTGCAGGAGAACCCGCAAATTACAGCAATTGGAAGAGTGGCTGGGAAGAACTTACCAGTTTCTTCTATGTTGACCAAAATCCAAGATTCATTGCCTACATTGGACAAGTTGAGTGCTTTTTCTCTCACGTTCTCCAGCCAGGTGCTTTCGACGTTTCGTTCCTCCCGGGTAATGTAGGTGATCGGTACGAACCACAACTCCTCAAAGTTGCTTTTGATGTCTTCGGTTAACTTCGTTTGACTGATCGTTGCGATTCCTGCCAAATCGCCGGTTACTAGTCAATTTTTTTAGTAAAAAAACTCACCGGAACTGTAATTCCTCCTCACGGATATGCAGGGATAACCGCTTTGAGTGGTCCAGGAATCCATCAAGGCTTTCACTGTGACATTTTCCGGGATGAGGCTCTGGTTGTGGGCTCTTTTGGTGAATAAACCCCACAGGTCGTCTTGGTTGGTTGATTTGAACGAGCTGAAAATACCAAAGCAAATTTATGTTGTTCCTGCTGAAAAAATTCAGAAAAATAAAACGTAGTGGATGTTAGAAACTGAAGTTTATCGGCGCTCAGAACCCCAGAAAATACTGGCAAACTGTGTCTTTTATGCAAAAAGGTTAAAAGAAGGATTTTACAAGAAAAGTCGTCGTCTTTACAGTTGAGTCTTCTTTATCGTCTTTTTAGAGCGTTTCACCTTTGAATTTGGGACAAAATCGAAACAAAATTATCTTCTTGGTTTCGACAAAATTTAGGTTTCCTCAAAAAACGACCAGAGAAAGCAAAAGCATGTAATCAAAATTTGGAAAACTCGTCACCCTCATCGCTCTGAAATTTTTTTGTTTCATCAAAATTTCTGGATTTTCCCGTTTTAGACCAAATCAAGCAATCGTATGCGCAAAAGCAATATGTTGAGGGCTTTTTTTTGTTAGATGTTAAAATTCCATCATCGGCCATGAGTTATATCCCATTAACCAATGAGATGAAGCTCATTAACCCAGAGAGCTGCAACGACCCAAAAGCGCAACAACACAGTGTTACTCAGGCCTAAAGCGCGACGCACCTTCATTTTGGGAATGTGACATAAGTTAAGTTGAAACATTGAACTCAAGTACTCGTCTTTGCAACTTACAATTTCTTCAAATAGTTGTGCAGTCCCTTCTGGAACACCTCGTTGGTAAGCGTATGGTTGAGCATCTTCAAAATACTGCTTCCTTTCTTCGTTACTATGTAGGTGTCGTAGATCTGCTCGATTTGAGCATTGCTGCTCACCTTGCTCTCTATGCTCTGCGTCGATTTCAGGCTGTCGAAGTAGAGCGTTGTGTAGGCGTTTCTCAATTGCAGACTGCTGTAGACGTGCCATCTGGGCCGAAGCTGCAGGCACAGATTGCGGCTGATTAGCTGCAGTAAAAACGTGCTAAAGTGGTCACTTACACTTGCTAAAGTGACTTCGGCCATGAAAGTACCAAAACCCTCATTGAGCCACAAGTCGGACCACCATTCCATCGTCACCAGGTTGCCGAACCACTGATGCGCAAGTTCATGGGCGATTTTCGCAAAAATCACGCTCTTGGTTTTGATGCTGCGCGACAATGGATCAAAGAGCAAAGTGGATTTCCTTCAGAGAAAAGCATAAAAATTCACCAAGTCAAAAAACAAAACTCACATAGACAGAGTGTCTCAATGAAGATGGAAACAACGTGAAGGACTTTTTTGCTTCGGGTACCCAATAGTGACTTCAGGTGTAAACCCAGCTTGGTACGACTTTGCGAATAGGGGCAATTCTCTGTATTTGAAGATTAATGAGCGCTATCGGAAACAATTACTAGAAAAAGTAAAACAGGTCGTACTGGGCTCAACCTGGTTTACATCTGAAGTTGTACAATGTGGCTATTTCCATCTTTAGTAAGACACACTGTACTTGAAGTGGATCAGCCCCCAGTTCTCCATGGCATCCATTCCAAAGCTCGGTATGGCAATCAGGTCCAATTTAGGCAGCGGGTATTTTATGCCAAAGTACTGCTCCAGAAAGGGCATTATTTCCAGGGCAGTATCCAGAGCATACTGCGCCTTCGGAAGATCGTCCTTTGGGGCCCACACTTTAAACACCGGCCCAGTGGCGGAAGTAGCCGAAATATATCCAAAGTCGCAAATCGTGAAGGCTAGCAGATAAGTAGACATGGGCGGGGTGGCCTCAAAGTGGTCCCAAGCCCATCCTGTTTCGTTTCTATTAAAAAGGAAACTTGAAGTGATTTAGCTGTTAAGGTACCAACCATGTTCGTAATGGCTGTGGTGCGTACAAAGCTTTATGTTCCACCTAATGGCTTTCAAGCCACAAACAAAATGTACAATCCGACTAAGTAAGTGAAGAAGGTGGAAATGAAAAATGTATAAAGGAATAAAAGAGTGAAGATTCTTTCGTATGGACAGAAATAGTCGCTGTAGAGAGCAACTGGTGGGTAACAAATTTGTGGCATAAAGTGGACAAACTTTAACGCACGAATCTCTAAAGCAAATTGTACCTACATGGGTTCAATGGCTTTCAGAGGCATATTGGACAGTACCGTCATATTGGTTCTTCTGGCTACGCTTATTTCGAATGAAGCTTTAAACGCCGGTTCGTCAAAGCATGGGAAAACGGTCCTGGCGTAAACTGAGGCCAGTTGAGTAGTGGCTAGCCATCTAAAAATGCCGTTTTTTAAGCGCTGGATAAATGAAGCAAAACTTAATTTCCTTACTTAATGTTCCCACTCAGGTCTGTGTAGCTGGTTCGGTAGAACCCGACCAGATTGTTGGTAATGTTTCCAGCAAACTTTAGGTCGACAGTGTAGGTTTCGCCTTTGAACAGTCGCTCCGCTAGGAAAATCGTCAGCTTGGAGTTTGGGACGTTTTTAGTGATCTCGGATATGCCCAGCGTTCGTAACTCGGATGTAACAAAAACCTGAAAAACAGTTCTCAGTTGAATGGGAAAACATTTTTTAAAAACTTTGCACGCTGATTTTTTCTTGGAAAGTTTGAACATAAAATAGGTTTTTCAAAATTTATTATAACTTTCAAACAATTCATTTAATTTCGTCCAAATTTTGTAGGTACACATTGTACTGTAGCAGATACTGATGAAATGGATGAAATAGTGTTTTAGTTCAGCATCGGTAGTAAACATTTGAAAATAATAATATTTTTAAGTTTTCTGGTCGTTTCTAAGCAAAATACTGTTCGTGCAAAATTTCAATTTGGCTCTTCGTTTCTGATAATTTTGAAATAAAATTAGTATCGGTTCGGGCCCTCTGACATCACAATTTGCAGCCACCAAAGCAAGCAGTTTAGGATTTCCCAATAAAAACGTAACAATAAAATGCCTTAAATAAATATAAAATAAAATAAATAACAAAACCTCATGATATAATTGAAAATACAAAAAATGTAATTTATAAAATTCCTTGCGAATGCAGCAAATTTTATATAGGAGAAACCTCAAGACCATTACACAAAAGACTCAAAGAACACCAATCATACATAAAAAACAGAGAATATCATAA